TGTAAGCTATAATCCCTTAAAGATTTTGTAAAAATTTTGTGAAAATTTTGGCGCGGCAAGTATAAGTAGTAGGCTGGGGTACAGCTTTGTGAGTTTGTATTTAACCGTTAGTTACCAGGCAAGAGCGAGACAAACTCCCGCCTTAATGGCCAGTGCTTTCGAACTTTCTCGCTTCGCATAGAGAGTTTTTGAACACCGGTTTGCACCGTTGGTTTCTTAATCTTTGGAATCCTAAAAGTAGGGACAGCTCTCCTCTTGAATGAGTTGCTTGTTATTATCGCAGTAGTGATAACATCAGCAGATGATTCGTCTTCAGAATCATATTGAGTTCTAGGTTTTGATGAATCAGCAGCCCTTTTTGAAGTGTTGACAACAACTGATACGTCCTCAGTAGATGGTTCGGGTACAGGGTTTACAGCTACAGGAACCCTTCAAGCGAATGAGCGACTCTCCTGATGCCTTCGCTAAATTGCAACGTAAACATCTGTCGTATGTGAGACTTTCCATAACCCTTCCGCACTTACACCGCCAAGCCATATTATTTTGTCCTATTATATGAATGATTATATTAGTAAATTATACAATTATGTGTATATAATATATAGGTGTTTTTTTTGTAGAGTTATCAAATCAGTTACAACTACAGAAAACAATTGCAAGAGCGAGGTACTACTAGTACTAAAGGTCAACACTCAAAATTGAGTTTAATTTGGGTAATTATGTTAAAATTTGAACCGATTAGTCAGCCAAAATCTGATTTTTAATTTATGTTAAAAAAGTTAAAAAAGTTAAAGTAATTAATGTTAAATTCCAAAATCTCGATCTTAGAATTTAACTTTTTTAACGTGGACCCCCCCCAGAGGGGGGAGGAGGTAGCAGAGGGGGTAGCAGAGGGGGTAGCAGAGGGGGTAGCAGAGGGGGGAGGAGGTAGCAGAGGGGGGAGGAGGTAGCAGAGGGGGGAGGAGGTAGCAGAGGGGGGAGGAGGTAGCAGAGGGGGGAGGGGGGTAGCAGAGGGGGGAGGAGGTAGCAGAGGGGGGAGGAGGTAGCAGAGGGGGGAGGAGGTAGCAGAGGGGGGAGGGGGGTAGCAGAGGGGGGAGGAGGTAGCAGAGGGGGGAGGAGGTAGCAGAGGGGGGAGGAGGTAGCAGAGGGGGGAGGAGGTAGCAGAGGGGGGAGGAGGTAGCAGAGGGGGGGGGGGGAGGTAGCAGAGGGGGGAGGAGGTAGCTGAGGGGGATGAGGTAGCAGAGGGGGGAGGAGGTAGCAGAGGGGGGAGGAGGTAGCAGAGGGGGGAGGAGGTAGCAGAGGGGGGAGGAGGGTAGCAGAGGGGGGAGGAGGTAGCAGAGGGGGGAGGAGGTAGCAGAGGGGGGAGGAGGTAGCAGAGGGGGGAGGGGGTAGCAGAGGGGGGAGGAGGTAGCAGAGGGGGGAGGAGGTAGCAGAGGGGGGAGGAGGTAGCAGAGGGGGGAGGAGGTAGCAGAGGGGGGAGGAGGTAGCAGAGGGGGGAGGAGGTAGCAGAGGGGGGAGGAGGTAGCAGAGGGGGGAGGAGGTAGCAGAGGGGGGAGGAGGTAGCAGAGGGGGGAGGAGGTAGCAGAGGGGGGAGGAGGTAGCAGAGGGGGGAGGAGGTAGCAGAGGGGGGAGGAGGTAGCAGAGGGGGGAGGAGGTAGCAGAGGGGGGAGGAGGTAGCAGAGGGGGGAGGAGGTAGCAGAGGGGGGAGGAGGTAGCAGAGGGGGGAGGAGGTAGCAGAGGGGGGAGGAGGTAGCAGAGGGGGAGGAGGTAGCAGAGGGGGGAGGAGGTAGCAGAGGGGGGAGGAGGTAGCAGAGGGGGGAGGAGGTAGCAGAGGGGGGAGGAGGTAGCAGAGGGGGGAGGAGGTAGCAGAGGGGGGAGGAGGTAGCAGAGGGGGGAGGAGGTAGCAGAGGGGGGAGGAGGTAGCAGAGGGGGGAGGAGGTAGCAGAGGGGGGAGGGGGTAGCAGAGGGGGGAGGAGGTAGCAGAGGGGGTAGCAGAGGAGGGGTAGCAGAGGGGGGAGGAGGTAGCAGAGGGGGGAGGAGGTAGCAGAGGGGGGAGGAGGTAGCAGAGGGGGGAGGAGGTAGCAGAGGGGGGAGGGGGTAGCAGAGGGGGGAGGAGGTAGCAGAGGGGGGAGGAGGTAGCAGAGGGGGGAGGAGGTAGCAGAGGGGGGGAGGGGGTAGCAGAGGGGGGAGGAGGTAGCAGAGGGGGGAGGAGGTAGCAGAGGGGGGAGGAGGTAGCAGAGGGGGGAGGAGGTAGCAGAGGGGGGAGGAGGTAGCAGAGGGGGGGAGGAGGTAGCAGAGGGGGGAGGAGGTAGCTGAGGGGGATGAGGTAGCAGAGGGGGGAGGAGGTAGCAGAGGGGGAGGAGGTAGCAGAGGGGGGAGGAGGTAGCAGAGGGGGGAGGAGGTAGCAGAGGGGGGAGGAGGTAGCAGAGGGGGGAGGAGGTAGCAGAGGGGGGAGGAGGTAGCAGAGGGGGGAGGAGGTAGCAGAGGGGGGAGGAGGTAGCAGAGGGGGGAGGAGGTAGCAGAGAGGGGGAGGAGGTAGCAGAGGGGGGAGGAGGTAGCAGAGGGGGGAGGGGAGGAGGTAGCAGAGGGGGGAGGAGGTAGCAGAGGGGGGAGGAGGTAGCAGAGGGGGGAGGAGGTAGCAGAGGGGGGAGGAGGTAGCAGAGGGGGGAGGAGGTAGCAGAGGGGGGAGGAGGTAGCAGAGGGGGGAGGAGGTAGCAGAGGGGGGAGGAGGTAGCAGAGGGGGGAGGAGGTAGCAGAGGGGGGAGGAGGTAGCAGAGGGGGGAGGAGGTAGCAGAGGGGGGAGGAGGTAGCAGAGGGGGGAGGAGGTAGCAGAGGGGGGAGGAGGTAGCAGAGGGGGGAGGAGGTAGCAGAGGGGGGAGGAGGTAGCAGAGGGGGGAGGAGGTAGCAGAGGGGGGAGGAGGTAGCAGAGGGGGGAGGAGGTAGCAGAGGGGGGAGGAGGTAGCAGAGGGGGGAGGAGGTAGCAGAGGGGGGAGGAGGTAGCAGAGGGGGGAGGAGGTAGCAGAGGGGGGAGGAGGTAGCAGAGGGGGGAGGAGGTAGCAGAGGGGGGAGGAGGTAGCAGAGGGGGGAGGAGGTAGCAGAGGGGGGAGGAGGTAGCAGAGGGGGGAGGAGGTAGCAGAGGGGGGAGGAGGTAGCAGAGGGGGGAGGAGGTAGCAGAGGGGGGAGGAGGTAGCAGAGGGGGAGGAGGTAGCAGAGGGGGGAGGAGGTAGCAGAGGGGGGAGGAGGTAGCAGAGGGGGGAGGAGGTAGCAGAGGGGGGAGGAGGTAGCAGAGGGGGGAGGAGGTAGCAGAGGGGGGAGGAGGTAGCAGAGGGGGGAGGAGGTAGCAGAGGGGGGGAGGAGGTAGCAGAGGGGGGAGGAGGTAGCAGAGGGGGGAGGAGGTAGCAGAGGGGGAGGAGGTAGCAGAGGGGGGAGGAGGTAGCAGAGGGGGGAGGAGGTAGCAGAGGGGGGAGGAGGTAGCAGAGGGGGGGAGGAGGGTAGAGAGGGGGGAGGAGGTAGCAGAGGGGGGAGGAGGTAGCAGAGGGGGGGGAGGTAGCAGAGGGGGGAGGAGGTAGCAGAGGGGGGAGGGGGTAGCAGAGGGGGGAGGAGGTAGCAGAGGGGGGAGGAGGTAGCAGAGGGGGGAGGAGGTAGCAGAGGGGGGAGGAGGTAGCAGAGGGGGGAGGGGGGTAGCAGAGGGGGAGGAGGTAGCAGAGGGGGAGGAGGTAGCAGAGGGGGGAGGAGGTAGCAGAGGGGGGAGGAGGTAGCAGAGGGGGGAGGAGGTAGCAGAGGGGGGAGGGGGTAGGAGGTAGCAGAGGGGGGAGGAGGTAGCAGAGGGGGGAGGAGGTAGCAGAGGGGGGAGGAGGTAGCAGAGGGGGGAGGAGGTAGCAGAGGGGGGAGGAGGTAGCAGAGGGGGGAGGAGGTAGCAGAGGGGGAAGGAGGTAGCAGAGGGGGGAGGAGGTAGCAGAGGGGGGAGGTAGCAGAGGGGGGAGGAGGTAGCAGAGGGGGGAGGAGGTAGCAGAGGGGGGAGGAGGTAGCAGAGGGGGGAGGAGGTAGCAGAGGGGGGAGGAGGTAGCAGAGGGGGGAGGAGGTAGCAGAGGGGGGAGGAGGTAGCAGAGGGGGGAGGAGGTAGCAGAGGGGGGAGGAGGTAGCAGAGGGGGGAGGAGGTAGCAGAGGGGGGAGGAGGTAGCAGAGGGGGGAGGAGGTAGCAGAGGGGGGGAGGAGGTAGCAGAGGGGGGAGGAGGTAGCAGAGGGGGGAGGAGGTAGCTGAGGGGGGAGGGGGTAGCAGAGGGGGAGGAGGTAGCAGAGGGGGGAGGAGGTAGCAGAGGGGGGAGGAGGTAGCAGAGGGGGGAGGAGGTAGCAGAGGGGGGAGGTAGCAGAGGGGGGAGGAGGTAGCAGAGGGGGGAGGAGGTAGCAGAGGGGGAGGAGGTAGCAGAGGGGGGAGGGGTAGCAGAGGGGGGAGGAGGTAGCAGAGGGGGGAGGAGGTAGCAGAGGGGGGAGGAGGTAGCAGAGGGGGAGGAGGTAGCAGAGGGGGGAGGAGGTAGCAGAGGGGGGAGGAGGTAGCAGAGGGGGGAGGAGGTAGCAGAGGGGGGAGGAGGTAGCAGAGGGGGGAGGAGGTAGCAGAGGGGGGGGAGGTAGCAGAGGGGGGAGGAGGTAGCAGAGGGGGGAGGAGGTAGCAGAGGGGGGAGGAGGTAGCAGAGGGGGGAGGGGGGTAGCAGAGGGGGGAGGAGGTAGCAGAGGGGGGAGGAGGTAGCAGAGGGGGGAGGGGGGTAGCAGAGGGGGGAGGAGGTAGCAGAGGGGGGAGGAGGTAGCAGAGGGGGGAGGGGGGTAGCAGAAGGGGGAGGGGGTAGTTAGATTCACGTATCGTAACAGCCAAATAATAACTCTTTTATAGTAGAGCAAGAGGTCAAGCAAACAAATCCTATTTGGAAGCATAAATTTGGGCGAATGGTGTAAAAAGTCATAAAACTATTACTTCATTGCATACCAACGTTAATTGATATACTTACTCAGTCCATTCTTTAATCCACTCGTCTGATTTTCCCTCGCAAGTCTTCTCTATCTGTTGCCCTATTGTCAGAAGATGAGACTTGGTTTGTCTGAGTTGCTCCTCGGTATCAGCGTCGTCTTTAGGATTCTCCAACATTCTTAAAGTCTTCCGTACCGGTCTCATCATTTCTTTGCACTAAAATTGTTTATGATAAAGGTCTTCGGGTCTTGGTAGTTTCGAAACTCAAACACGCAGAACGTTTAAAAACAAGTTCAAGTTAATACCAACAGAATTCACCAATACAACTTCATATCTCACGATATCTACCAGGACCACAATCTTTACCTTTTTAAAAACCACGTCACTGCATTCAGCCGGGGCTTCAGTTTGTTTTATTTCCTCAACCTCATCTTGGTCTTCCTTCTTGGTCCTCTTCTTCCTCCTCGACTTTGTTGGTTTATTCTCTTCAAAGAATTCCCTGATATCCTCTTCAGGTTCTTCCTTTTTCTTCTTTCTAGATTTTCTCTCCTTCTTTTTCGGCGCTTTTGTCGGAGATTTCGTCATCAATTTGGGCAAGTTTTTCAGCAGATATTCGGCTCTTGTTGTAAGATGCTCCGGTCTTGGTTTGCCCTCGCTGTCTGCTGGGAAGATCTGAAAAACAATAATTTAGCGACTGAAGAGAATGCTTTAGGGTCGTATTGCGACCTTAAAACCTTTTTTTAAATAACTTATCATTCCTGTTGGTGTACATTTTATTTAAACAGTCTCTCTTGGGTCTCTTTTACTAAAACGAATAATTTCACTTTTACCTTTTCGGCTAAGTTAAGTTTTGGATCAGCGATGACCTTGTCCCAGCTACCAAGCCCGTGCTCGTACACACCTAGGAGTAACATGCTATCCTCCTCCAGTCCCCACTCAAGATCCCATCCTGTCGGCTTTGTATTTTTGTCGATTCTCCATCTGGAGAGCAATGAAGGTGAGAAATTCAGTCTGTATTAGATAGTATAAGTCCAGAACAAAAAATTATAACCAAAATTATTGAGCTTAATTCATGAAATTGACTATTTATATGGTTCTAGTTAATTAAATTCTATGTGTTTTCCCCATATATCAAACATGAGACTGAAACTCGTATAAGGGCATATTTCAAAACTGGTTCCACTTGGAGGAAATTTTAGAAATGCTTTTATCAATCCAATTTTGGAAATTTTAGAATGTTTGAACTTTATACTTTGAAAATCTGCAATATTGGAGACATCAATCTACTCTATCATGCAAAAATAGCTCATTCTATCATCGACACTAAAACAATCCTCAAAAGTGTGCTCTACTTCATAACGTCTCTAGATTAGGCCTTTGCTTGAACTAAACCCAAATTTTGTGTGTTAGTATATGAGATTTCATTTTTACAGACTGATATAAAGCCCAATCAAGGAGAAAGAGCTAACATGGGGAAAATGTGGTTTTTAAAATTTTGTCACTCCGTAACAAAAAAGTGTAAAAAAGTTATCTATTCTCTTAACTACACGCCTATTCCATTCCATATTTTCTGAAGTATCTCAGTGACCTTACACTAAGATTTTCCAACATTTTCGATTGATAACATTATAATTTAAGAGGAGATATGATGAGCCAAACTTTGGTCACTCCGTAACGCTGTGTTACGGAGTGACAAATTCAAGGGACATTGTCACTCCGTAACGAATTTTTTTATTGTCATAAATACACCAAAGGAGTTTGCAACCTATGCTGACAGTCTTCTCAAGTCAATCAATGTCGTGTATGTTGGAGATCTAGCCTCAGGTATGGAAGAGGAGTGCAGAAGGAAAGCAAGACCAGTTCCAGGAACCTTGAAAGTGCACCACAGTACATTGTCCGTTCTTTCAAAGATAACAGCTGCATCCTTACCTTTAGGGACACGTCAGTTGATGGATCTTTGATAAAGAAGAGTTTGCCGATGAATCATCTGCTCAGACGACTTCAACAACAGTTATTGGAGAGGAGGAAACACCATCATCTTCTAACAGCTGTGAAACTTACAACATTGATCAATTCGTGATTGTTAACTGGGAGGGTGAACTTTACCCAGGAGGGTGAACTTTACCCAGGAAAAGTTATTGGCAAGCCAGACAGCAGTAACCTTACCGTTAAGTGCCTTGTACCAGCTGGAAAACCTGGATCAATCTGGAAATGGCCTGACAAAGAGGACGTCCATGATTACGAACTTAGTGACGTGAAAGGAGCTATTGGTATGCCGAAGCTTTTGCCGGGAACAGGGAGAAGAATAGAGTTTGAAGTACCTGAACTTGCTTATAAGTGGGGTGTAAAGGTTTAAATTTTCGTTAATCTGTGTACATTGTACAGTTTATAACTTTAAACAAATAAGCCCAGATTTTTAAACATTTCATTATGATATGTCACTCTGTAACAGATTCTTAACCGAGTAATATTTGTAGAAAGTTAAACCAATGAGACTGATTTTTATGCAGTTGTTTATATTTTTCAAACAGTGATTTAAATGTGCTGTATTTTAAGGGAAATTTACAGAGTTGTAAGCTCCAGGGTTGATTTTTTATCACATGATCGTATTTTTATTCATAATTGTGATCAAGACTAATGAATTGTACCAGATTTGATTTATTTCACATCAATAAATTTGTGTGTCTACCTTGTTTAAGTGTTATCTATCTAATTTTGAAAAGAATTCTACTATTTAGAGCCAGGAACAGGATGAAAAATGATGAAAAATTCGAGTGGAATGAGAGACTGTTTGATGCGTCACTCCGTAACAGTCACTCCGTAACAATCCCCAAAATTTTTGAAGCCTCAAATTTTTTATTCCTTAGGCAATACACACTTTTTCTTGATTAATTATTGAAGGAAAATGTCTGAAAAGTGCCTGGAAGCCGTCAAAATGCAACTTTCAAGAATATCTGAGATAAAAATTAGGTCAGAATATGGGTGTACCAAAATCTGAAAATTTATCTAGTCACTCCGTAACGAAATTTCGACTTTTAATTACTCAAAAACGGATTGATTTCTCACTATTTTCTTTGGCAGATATGTAAATCGTAGGTTTGAAAAGCCTTAGAAACATAATTTAACCAATAATGAACCTGTTTTCTTGGACATTTTTCGGAAAAAATGGGTAAAATTGTCACACCGTAACATTCTATAGTTTTGAAATATGCCCATAACTGTTCAACGTACGCTATTCTGTCTTTTGGTTTTTCGGGTATGTACTCCAGATTGTTCAGCATGGTTTCTCGTTGGGTGATTTGGTTTGTTGAGAATGAACATCCTCCCAGCAGGATTGTGGTGTTTTTCTTTTGGGTACCTGAATACATTAATAATGATGATAACGTGTATCGTATGTACTTGTATATGTACATACATGGATATATCCATTGTGTCCCTAGGAAATGGTTTTAAGGCTACCCGAATGAATTTTTAAAGTCGACTTAAAAAACACTAATTTTCTTACCGTCAATATTGGTAGCATATGCCTCGGCTTCGCTAATTTTTGTGTGTAGGATATCGAGTAAAGCGTCCAATTCAGGAAGAGATGCAGACAAGCCAGCATCACGACCAATTTCTTTTAACCGTTTTGCTGCCGGACCGAACTTCCGGAAACTCTTGATAAACTTCCGGATCTCGGATTTGCTGAATACTTCTGCTTCGTCAAATTCTTCTTGCGAGTGTGATCTGCAAAAAAAACATTAAACCTGGTATCTTTAGTACAGGTAAAATATCTTGATCTGGAAAAAATTAACCCCAAGCCCCCCTCTCCTTCGATAGAATAATCCCACAAACACGAACAAAAAACACTAAATACCAACCTTCGTTTCTTGTGAGCAGGAGGATCCATCTTTCTCCGTTTACTCTTAGGATGATGTTTCTCTCCCTCGCTATCCGAGTGATTCCTCCTGGACACCACATTACCCGTATAGTTCACTTTCTTTCCCCGTCTGGGAGGAATGTACAATGGAACTTCATTCTCCGCTTTCTCTGCTAGCTGGATTGCTTCTATCTGATCTTTGGGGATGATGGTGTCCCAACCGGGACCTGGCGCTTCTTCTTCAGTTACGGTGAAGTTTGCAACCTGGAGGAGAATAAAGTTTAGATTATAGAAATTACATGTTAGTTAAAGTAGAGGTTAAAGGTTATGTCAGATAGTTAAATCACTCTCAGAACCAACTCCTAGAGTACTATTTAATCTATTCACTTTCTGTAAGAAATTTATAAACAAGACAGTACGACTAAACTGCGTTGCTCTGATGATTTCTACAATTCTCACTTGACTTATTTACAACCCACCTTGAACTGAGAGAGAAGTTCGTGTCCAGCCCCGGCCTCCTCCTCCTGTACTCGGGTCTCTGCTTCTTTCAGCACTGTGTCCAGGTCCAGACCCTCCAAGTGCTGGTCCGTGTTACTGTCGTCCTTGAACAGTTCCACTGCCCCGAACTTCAGCACTGCTGTCAGCTCTTCTTTGTTGAAGGGGATGTTTCTGGGTAGGGTAGGGTGGGGTAAGAATTAATATGTTCTCACAAGAAATGCTGTATTTGTATACATTTTAAACAAATGTATTCTCATCTTAGATGCTAAATTTGGATGATGTTATTACATGTCAGATAGATAAATCACTCGCAGAGCAAGCTCGTAGAGTATGATTCAATCCATCACTTTCTGTCAGAAATTTATAAACAAGACAGTACGACTAAACTGCTTTGCTCTGATGATTTCTACAATTCTCGTCGCGAATTATTGCATGAACTGGTCATGATATCAACAGCTTGTGCCAGCTTAAAAAAGAGTTTTTTAGCAACCTCTTTGGTTTGAGCTAAAAGAAGAGAACTTTACAGATACTTATAATCTGGAACTTAGAAAATGGAAATAATAATAAATAATCCATTACAATAAACTGACTTACTTGTTAGGATTGTTTTTATGGAGGACCATTCGGCCACTAGTGTCCATTTTCTGAATAACAAGATGATCAAGAATCATTTTCTTCTTTGCTCGCTCAATAATGTCCTCCTCGACACTGTTCTTCGTCACAAGCCGGTAGATGTTTACCTGGGGGAGGTAAAACTATTTATATTAAAGTTAGTAATTTATAGTATTTAGATAATTTGGGTAAATCTAGCTATTACAGTAAACTCATCTACTCATCATAAGAATTGTAACGTTGCCAAGCAATACATGTACATATACATTATTGAAGATTTTATACATTATACAAGATTTTTTGAAATAAATTTACCCATGTAACACGGGATTTCTTGAAACAAAAAATCAGTTTTTGTATGTTTTCAGTAGATCATGCCGTACAAACTAGCTTTTCAGTATGCCATACATGATACATACTGCACTAATTTCTACAAACTAAAAATCAAACAAGCTTTTTCAGACATACCTGTTTCTTTTGTCCGATTCTATGAGCTCTAGCCATGGCCTGGAGGTCGTTCTGTGGATTCCAATCGCTGTCAAATATGATGACAGTGTCGGCAGTGGCCAGGTTGATTCCCAGACCTCCTGCTCGTGTGGACAGTAGGAAACAGAAGTCAGTACTTCCCTCCGCGTTGAAATGGTCCAGTGCTTGGGCTCTCATGTCTCCTTTAACCCCGCCATCTAATCGCTGCAGATAATTTTAGTGTTTACTTCCTGTCACATCGTCATGTAAACAATAGGGGCCACAAATCACATTGACAGAAAAGGCGTAAACATATTATTGTGAGTTATATGATCTGATGCTCCACTACTACGTACTGCCTCATTAATTTACCTGATGACCGAACTTCTTCAATTCCAAGTACTCGGCGATAATATCTAACTGTCTGACCATCTGAGAGAAAATAAGAACCCTGTTACCCCTCTCCTTGCACCTGGCTAACAACTTGTCAAGTAACCACAGCTTTCCACTTCCTTTCACTATAGATTGTAATCTGTACAGGTCGGTATGACCAGCTTCAAGTGGCACAGTCAGTTCACAGTGATTGCAGCATTTCTTCAGCTCCATCATTATGTTCATCAGTGACTGGTTGCTACCTGGTAAGTTTAGATCCCTTTTTAAAACCTTACAGAATACAGAGAGACAGGTGAATTGACCACAACATCCATATTTTAAGTGCGTCACAATCTGACTCAGATAGAAATTCAACTGATACCTCATTTTAAACACATTTTATATAAATCTTAGTTAAAATAGAGATGATGTTATTACATGTCAGACAGATAAATCACTCGAAGAGCAAACTCGTAGAGTACGATTCAATCCATCACTTTCTGTCAGAAATTTATAAACAAGACAGTACGACTAAACTGCTTTGCTCTGATGATTTCTACAATTCTCATCACGAATTATTGCATGAACTCAATGAATCAATACAAAAACTGGTGCTCTAGAATTAGCCAATAAAAATGGGTGTAAGCTCAAAAATAACTTTAAACCGACCTTTTTCTTTAGAAAGAGCTGAAAAGTTCCTGGTCAATATCCAGCGGTAATACTGTTTCTGTTTGACTGTCATGTCAACTCTAAGTATCTGCTCCGTTTTACCCGGGAGCGATTTTTCCACGTCTTTCTTAACCCTCCGCAATAAATATGGTTCCAGCTCTTTGTGGATCTTGGAAAGGGATTCACCGTTCATCTCAGACATTTCACCGTGTATAGATTCAAATTCTTCAAACGAGGGATAGTTCCTGGATTTTTAAGTGTTATGATATAATCACATTATGTCGACAGGTTGCGGTTAGCGTTAACATTCAAAATTTGGGATTCTAGGCTATCAAAACTCAAAACATGATTTAGCATAGGGTAGCATAAATCGAAAAATGTACTAACGTAGGCATAATGAAATGTAAGAGTGCCCACAACTCCTTGAGCGAGTTCTGTAGAGGGGTCCCGGTTATCAATAATCTGTGGAACGTTCTGAGGTTTATCAAAACTTTGTACAGAGAACTCTGGTCGTTCTTGAGCCGGTGAGCCTCGTCCACTGCCAGGACTGCCCACGGGTAACTTTGGAAAAAGTCCTGAAATTTTAAGGAAAATGTTTAGAAACATCCGGCGTCAATTTTTGTATATATTCAATCTTTTGTCCGCTTATGCTGGTGGGACACCATTCAACCAGAATTGCCCGAATAAGACTTACTATGTCCTTGAGGACAATCTCGTAAGAAGTGACAATGGCGTTAAACTTCAGTTTTCCACTGGGCATAGTCCACTCATTCTCTTGAATAGTTTGCCGTGACTTCATGTCTCCTATGTACATTATCGTGTTCATATTGGGTGCCCATTTGGCGAATTCCCGCTCCCAAGCAGGCATTGTACTCAGTGGAACCACTAATAAAAATGGACCATATTGCTTTGCAGAGTAGAAGACATAGTTCAGAAAGCAGACTGTTTGGATTGTTTTGCCAAGTCCCATTTCGTCAGCTAAAATTACACTGTTCCTCCTGAAAAATAATAGAATTATAAATGGCACAAAAATAGAATGTGATCGTGGTCGTTAAATTGGATTATTTAAAATAATTTGATTTATACGGCATTATGAAAAGAAATTAAATTTCATTCCGGGCTGCTCGTATAAATAAAAATAAATGTCTTGATATATAATTTCGCTCCTTTTTAAGATTGTCAAAATAAAAAAAAGACCTGGTCTATAAACTAACTATTAGTTAAAAATATTTCTATAACCAAAAATATTTCTTACTTGCACCAAGAATGACCTAACCAGTTTAAACCATCTAACTGATAGTCTCTTAGTTTTAAACCTTCAGGAATCCAAGATGGGTGTTCATCGTGTTTGACAAACCTACATCTCTGAGCAAGGGACTGCCGGGGAAATGTTTAAGTAAAGAACACAATAAAATTTATCAGTTTATATAACATTGATGTAAATCAACTGATAATTTTCGAATAATGATGCGAAGATCGAGTAAGACTGCTTAAACCGAGGAAATCTCCTCAAAAACTTCAACACGAACCTTATACTGAGTGTTTGGCTTAGTATCAGAGTTTTTCATCCTCTCATAGTGTTTGATCTTCTCCGCATGATGTTCCTTTAGATAAGAATCCTTTTCATAAGTTGCATCTGAGTAGGGTAAACTTCTCCACTTTACTAAATAGTCTATGGAAGTATTTTCCTCCTCGTCTTTAGTTGCACTATGAGTTATGATCCTATCCACATCAGTATATTGACTAATAAGGTTCAGCTTCATTTCATCGTGCACATCGTAATATTCAAGGTCTTCTGGGCTCATGTTCTTTTTCCTGGAGAGAAAATATCTTTTTGTAATTTCCATTTATTTATCATATCAGCCGTCCACTGGAAACCAAAGGCCAATTGTAACCGAGGCATTATCTAAGAAAGTTATTGATCCATGTACATTGTACACCTGATCTGGATAAAGTACGTGATCTTGAAATTAACCGACCATTCCGCTACTTCTTGTTGTTTCTTCTGATAGTTCTCCAATATCTTGAGACCTTTGCAACCCTTCTCTTCTAAGCTAACGTCCGACTCCCAAGTGTTATGAATGTGAGAGTATCTGGCCCATTTGATGAAATATTGAGGACATCTTGCTTCTTTTCCTTCAGGAGCGTCTTCCAGACATTTCAGTCCTTTACCTCCCGCACTTGGCGCTGTCATGTCTCCAACTTCTGCAAAAGTCTAAGTGTAAATAAACGTACCGTATTTTGAGCACTCTCCTGCAATTTGTCTGACTTATTGTCAAACAAATTCCAACATAATCTGTCCAATTTATCTACAATGCTTATCAATAACCAATCTATGTCTTGGTAGAAATCATCTGAGTTACTTACGCCACTTAGGACCAATTCTGTGATGCATAACTTTCTCAATTTTCTCAGACAGTTCCTCGGGCTCCTGTTCCGGCTCCTCTATGTAGATTTTATCAGCCTCATCTTCACTTCCGAGAGGATCTGTCTCTTCTACGTCACGATAACTGGAAAAATCAATCAAATTAGCACGTTTGATAACAAATTGACCATATTTTTGTTATATTTTGCGTTTATTCATCGTTAAATGCGAGAAAACATCCAAAATTAAGATAATATTTGGTAGACCTGAAAAAAGCAAAAGATAGATTTTGTGACCCCTACCATAACTGACACTTAATTTATTTTTTGAGAATATTGATATTGTAAGGTAATTCAAATAGTTTTCCCGCTATTTTAAGCAGGCAACGTGGTTCAGAAGACTGTGCAAAATATTGTTATCACCTTGTAACACTACATGTGAGCAGGGTTGTAGTCCCCAACATACACAGATGCAATCAAGAAGACTTCAGGAGGATTATTGTGCCAAAAACAATCGGCTGGGCTAATTGATTTTCGCCAGAATGGCGAATTTTCGGCATGAGTTCGTGCGCTAAGTGTTTGGATGATATGCTTTAATCACAAACGAGGGCTTAGAATGCTTACACTTTGTGCTTTTAAGCCGCGCGGTAGACCCTTTAGGTGATTCGTGGAGCCCCTTTGTTCGCGATTTTCAAGAGTTAGCCTTCGAGAACTTTCTTCGCAAAATCTGTTGCTACGAGCAATAATCCGTCAAAAAACGATGGCCCTATGAAAAATGGACACACATACTTGACTTCTTTCTTTCTGGTCCGAATTTCTCTGAAGAATGTGGGTTTTGGTGAGGGTGGGAGCTTCTTTATTCGTTTAAATTTCTTCTTCTTTTTACTCGAACCACGCCTTTCTTCAGAGGGAGAATAGTCACTGTTCACCGACTCTTCTGATTCTGACAGATTCCTGAAATATTTACCCACATAATGGTGGAAAAGTACGCAGAAATTGTACAAATTCTAATCGCAATAAATAAAATTTCAACTTTCTCATTTGAATTTTAATGCCACGCCCATCGATAACAAAGTATCCGATAAGCGTACGGTGGATGCAGGGAAGTCGGTTTACAATTTTATTTTAAAGATTTTACAGAAGCCAAAGTTTGAGTTGAGGCGACTATACATTTCAGTCATAGTAACTGATGTAACAAACTACATCGTGTAGCAAGTGTACATTTACTGATAACGTATTCATACATATCACGTGACTAGAATATCTAATTACGAAACATTTATTCTTCAGTGAAACTAATCTATTTTTTTGACAAAGTGTCAAGTTTTTGGCACTGAGTTAAAGTTTTGGGTGATTTCCTAACAATTAACAAACAAAAATAAAACACCTTGGTCCTTGGGTATCTTTTGTACGTGATTTTTGAAGAGTGTGAGGGTGTTTCAAACCAGAACCAACTTCTTAACGAACTTTGACGCATTGTGAGCTCAAAACTTTGACTAATTCAGAATCAAAACCAATATAAAATACAGAAAATTAGAACAGGGGGCATTTGGGAAATTTTGTCATTTCACTGCCAAAATAGCTGGAGACATTTGCATGCGACACTTTCAGTAATCACTTTCAGTAATCACGTACAGTTTATAAGCCATTATAAAATTAATACTGACTTGTAACTTCTGTTAGTTTTCCTCTTAGGTTTCTGTTTGAAGAAGGCTGAACTATCATCTCCACTTTCTTCAGGCTCGTCACTATCTTCCATACCATGGTACTTCTGGTTAGACTTTCTGAACAATATTATTAATATTATTAATTATATGACTAACATTTACAATAAGCATGATTTGTTTGTCTTTCAATTTATCAATTAGTTGTTTAATTATCCAATTAATTTCCCTACTACAATCTATGGCCCAATCGATAAAGTATTGGTGTCTTAATTTTAGGACTGTGGATAATTCTATATCTAGATATTATGATCTAAAATATATTCTGAATATTAGATTAATATTACATTAAACGGCAGAATAAACAATTGACACGTCTTGCCCGATGCCCTAAATAGGAAGTACTTATCTTCGTGATTAACAATGTGCAATTTTCCTGGAAACAAATCAGCTACTCTGTTCCACGCAGTCACTTGAATGGACGATAGAGGGCTACTAATTACCATGACTAAACATTTTACACTAAGTTACCACTCAACCCACTGGGTCCCCTTTCTGTTAAACCTGAAACAAGTTTTAAGTAAAAACAAAAGGGATCCGTACCTCACTAACCTATCCCTGCCTGATCTTCTAATACCATACATCTCCTCATTCCCCTCCCACAACCGGTTCTTCTTCTTACTGCTCCTCTTCTTCTTCTGGTACACCTCTTCCTCACTATTCTGAAGCAACAACTTGAAATGAAATGAAATGAGGTATTTAATATTTATATCCCGCTCATATGATTAACCAACAAAACACGAAAGGTGGTTACTGGTAATCATGTCAGAACGGCTGACTGTAAGTGATGTGAGCAAATATGTAAAAGTGAACACAAGTATAACTATTAACTCATCATAAGGCAAAGACAAAATTAAAACATCCTCTATTCTAAACCACACTAAACTAAATAGGAGCAGAAACCATTGTCACATTAATGTTAATACTGAGTCAGTGCGTGGTCAGTGAAACAGTCTCATGAACTTGGATTAAAGTTACTTTCAAAGAACAAAGCTTTTGAAAGGTCCGTATTGTGGGGAAGTGTAAATAAGTACCTCGCTGGAATAGTTGTCGTCATCATCGTCAGACTTCTCTTCTCCTGATACCTCGTAGTCGCTGAAACAACAGCAGCTTAGTTTCAACAACTACAAGCAAAACCCACAACTCACCGTGGAGCAGCTCGGTAAATAAATCGGGGTTTTAACTTTTACAATTTACAGTAAACTCTTTTCTTAGTCCGTTGTCTATATTTAGTAACTATGTAACAAGTCCACAATTAGAGAAGGGTAAAACATGTGTACCGTGGCCGGTAGTACGGGTAGTGTACTAGTGTGTTAAAGTAGTGACGTCACACCACGTGTAGTGACGTCACACCACGTGTAGTGACGTCACACCGCGGGTACTGACGTCACACCACGTGTAGTGCGGGTAGTGTACTAGTGTGTTAAAGTAGTGACGTCACACCACGTGTAGTGACGTCACACCACGTGTAGTGACGTCACACCGCGGGTAGTGCGGGTAGTGTACAAGTGTGTTAAAGTAGTGACGTCACACCACGTGTAGTGACGTCACACCGCGGGTAGTGCGGGTAGTGTACAAGTGTGTTAAAGTAGTGACGTCACACCACGTGTAGTGACGTCACACCGCCGGTAGTGCGGGTAGTGTACTAGTGTGTTAAAGTAGTGACGTCACACCACGTGTAGTGACGTCACACCGCCGGTAGTGCGGGTAGTGTACTAGTGTGTTAAAGTAGTGACGTCACACCACGTGTAGTGACGTCACACCGCGGGTAGTGCGGGTAGTGTACTAGTGTGTTAAAGTCATCCTCATTATGTCCATCCTTACAAAAGGAGTTAGGCAAGCATATAGTGAGGGGCATAGATCATGCATGATGTGTTCGAATATAAAACAAGTCAGTAGTCACTGTCCTTCATAGCATTATTATTTCTAACCCTTTAAAATTAAGCGAATGAATCATCTAAAAAGGTATTTTCAATTTTGATAAAAATGTAAAAAGTATCGAACGTGGATGTGATGGAATTGTCCGACACACGCACTGTGACAGACACACACCTGTCTTTAACAACTGAGTCAGCGCTAGACTGTCCGCACTCGTAGTTATCCAGATCTTCTTCGTCGTCTGAAAATATCATGTACTGTTTCTTCTGATCTGCTCGAGAGGTAGGGTTGTCACTTTCGTCAGAATCGTCACTCTCTTCGCCGCTTTTCTTCTTATCTTCTTCCTTCTTGTCCTCTTCGTCTTCGCTGGTGTCATTTTCCTGAAATGAAGTAAAAATGTTTATATGCACTGAATAGGTTTTCCGAGCTATACTGCAATAATCTACGTAGTAATATGAAGTTGTAATTAAGGAGAATAGCATCGAAAATTGTAAAACAGCAGTTAACTGAGTTTCCAGAAGCAAGAAATGTTTACTGGGTTTGTAACAAACACATTTATAATTATTATTGATGAGCGAGTAATACTCACGTTGGTTTCTGATGGTGGTGTAGGGGAGTTGGAGTCTTTGGAATCTTTGGAATCATAGTTTCCGTTCACTTCAACTTTAATATCGTTATTATCGTTATCTGTCACGTTACTGCAGGAATCTGATGAGATATGTAGTGTTAGTAATCGGCAACGAGATTATAGACATTAATTAGAAGTTAATTATTAATTAGTAATTATTGCCAAAGCCCAAAGAATACATAATTTAAAAGCAGAACATATTAAATTTAGCATTTTCAAAGCCTGGTAACTTAATAATTTGAAGTACACTGTAACACGTGTTTAATTGTGATAATACTGATAATGAATGGCCTTGTGATATTAAATTAACTAATTTGAATACTAATTACTAATAACATTGTAATTTAGGCGTCAAGATTTAAAAAATCCTTTTTAAACAACTCGACATTAAATAAATTGTTCAACAAAATATAACCTGAGTCCCCATTAAGTTGAAGTTTAAGTTTTAGACTAGTCTTTAAATTCTCATCTGATAATCCGCCCTGAAAATTGCAAGGTTTAAAATTTTGATGAGCAACAGCCCAGTTCATAAACATTAAATTAAAATGTGAATGATACCATAACATGACAGGTGTATGGGATATGAAATAATGGTGTCATCATACAGCTAAGAAGAGATATGGTAAAATATGGGCCAACAAGATGGAAAACAATGCAGTACAATTGTATTATGTATTAAAATTGCAGGACAGAGGCCAGGGTTATACAATAGATTATAAAATGTTCATGGCCGATACTGATGGTACTCTCTAATAGTTCATGTAAACTTTACTATTTAGCCATAAACTTGTTATACTGATAGTTGAATAATATCCGGTTGAAAGAGACAAGGACAAATAAAACAGGAAGTTAGAAATGTAGACAAATTTTCGGCGTCAACGCCATCTTTAGGCTCAAATTATTTGTTATAATATAGTAGTGTTGAAAGTATTAAATCTGTTTCATTTGTCCTTGTCTCTTTCAACCGGATATATCAGTATTTCAATCATGAGACTAATAAACAGCGAACTACTCCAACATTTGATATTCCTAAACTTATTATAGGTTGAACATAAATGATATAATACATTATGTATATATAATATAAATAAGCGGTTATTTGTTTGGATCAAGTGAAAATTATGCCTTGTATATTACTATTTATTATGACTAAAATTGTGTGCAAACAAAACATAGTCTATCAATATATTAAATACCTGTTCGATTTTTTGTGAGGAGTAGTCCATAAGCTCTGGTTTTGGAAAATCCATACAATATCATATCATTTCCTGAAGTTATATGTGTATTAGAAACAATTCACAACTGCATATGACTGGACTTGAATACAATTTCAAATTTAAATTCAGGTACAAAAATCACTATCAGACTGATGTAGCGGTCTTAGGTAAATGCTTTCTTAAAGCAGAGATTACTGAAGAAATATTTTATATCTGTGAGTCTGTTATCTGTAGTTGCTGACTTTTAGTCAGTTTTAAGCAGCAAGCTCTCAGACATGGTCAAAAAGCAGTTGTGCCCAGTATAGCTAAATCCAGCAGTCAACGTAATCAAGGACTACATGACAACTCATTTGCAGTCACTGGACCTCGATTATGGAATGTAATCCCAAAGCAGTTCAAAGCAGCTTTAGGGCATATTTCAAAACTGGTTCCACTTGGAGGAAATTTCAGAAATGCTTTTATCAATCCAATTTTGGAAATTTTAGAATGTTTGAACTTTATACTTAGAAAATCTGCAATATTGGAGACATCAATCTACTCTATCATGCAAAAATAGCTCATTCTATCAGCGACACTAAAACAATCCTCAAAAGTGTGCTCTACGTCATAACATCTCTGGATTAGGCCTTTGCTTGAACTAAACCCAAATTTTGTGTGTTAGTATATGAGATTTCATTTTTACAGACTGATATAAAGCCCAATCAAGGAGAAAGAGCTAACATGGGGAAAATGTGGTTTAAAAAATTTTGTCACTCCGTAACAAAAAAGTGTCAAAAAGTTATCTATTCTCTTAACTACACGCCTATTGCATTCCATATTTTCTGAAGTATCTCAGCGACCTTACACTAAGATTTTCCAACATTTTCGATTGATAACATTATAATTTAAGAGGAGATATGATGATCCAAACTTTGGTCACTCCATAACGCTGTGTTACGGAGTGACAAATTCAAGGGACATTGTCACTCCGTAACGAATTTTTTTATTATTTTATGGACGTTAAAATGAAGTTAGGGTCTCCGTACAGTGATGGTGTAGTTCACCATCTACACTGCTTGTGTATATTACAAAAGACGAGGACTAAGAGGGGAGAAAGCCAAATGTGCTAACTTTGGTTTGATAACTGAAGAAAACGACCACTCTGGGGATGTCACGTTATGCCTGAACAAGATCTTGCTGGAGAAAGTCGAAGAAATAATTCCTGGACAGATTAAGTTGGTTAAGTTCTGGTCAGATGGATGTTCCTCTCAGTTTCGGTCACAGTACACCTTCTTCATGTTATCCAAGTTTCCTTCCCACTACGACCTGGAGTGGAATTTCTTCATGGCTAACCATGGTAAGGGTGCCTGCGACGGGGTGGGTGGAACTATTAAACATGCTGTCAGCTGTCTTCAGAAAGATACTGTCCAATCAGGTTGTCATAAATACACCAAAGGAGTTTGCCACCTATGCTGACAGTCTTCTCAAGTCAATCAATGTCGTGTATGTTGGAGATCTAGCCTCAGGTATGGAAGAGGAGTGCAGAAGGAAAGCAAGACCAGTTCCAGGAACCTTGAAAGTGCACCACATTGTCCGTTCTTTCAAAGATAACAGCTGCATCCTTACCTTTAGGGACACGTCAGTTGATGGATCTTTGATAAAGAAGATAGAGTATGCCGATGAATCATCTGCTCAGACGACTTCAACAACAGTTATTGGAGAGGAGGAAACACCATCATCTTCTAACAGCTGTGAAACTTACAACATTGATCAATTCGTGATTGTTAACTGGGAGGGTGAACTTTACCCAGGAAAAGTTATTGGCAAGCCAGACAGCAGTAACCTTACTGTTAAGTGCCTTGTACCAGCTGGAAAACCTGGATCAATCTGGAAATGGCCTGACAAAGAGGACGTCCATGATTACGAACTTAGTGACGTGAAAGGAGCTATTGGTATGCCGAAGCTTTTGCCGGGAACAGGGAGAAGAATAGAGTTTGAAGTACCTGAACTTGCTTATAAGTGGGGTGTAAAAGTTTGAATTTTCGTTAATCTGTGTACATTGTACAGTTTATAACTTTAAACAAATAAGCCCAGATTTTTAAACATTTCAATATGATATGTCACTCTGTAACAGATTCTTAACCGAGTAATATTTGTAGAAAGTTAAACCAATGAGACTGATTTTTATGCAGTTGTTTATATTTTTCAAACAGTGATTCAAATGTGCTGTATTTTAAGGGAAGTTTACAGAGTTGTAAGCTCCAGGGTTGATTTTTTATCACATGATCGTATTTTTATTCATAATTGTGATCAAGACTAATGAATTGTACCAGATTTGATTTATTTCACATCAATAAATTTGTGTGTCTACCTTGTTTAAGTGTTATCTATCTAATTTTGAAAAGAATTCTACTATTTAGAGCCAGGAACAGGATGAAAAATGATGAAAAATTCGAGTGGAATGAGAGGCTGTTTGATGCGTCACTCCGTAACAGTCACTCCGTAACAATCCCCAAAACTTTTGAAGCCTCAAATTTTTTATTCCTTAGGCAATACACACTTTTTCTTGATTAATTATTGAAGGAAAATGTCTGAAAAGTGCCTGAAAGCCGTCAAAATGCAACTTTCAAGAATATCTGAGATAAAAATTAGGTCAGAATATGGGTGTACCAAAATCTGAAAATTTATCTAGTCACTCCGTAACGAAATTTCGACTTTTAATTACTCAAAAACGGATTGATTTCTCACTATTTTCTTTGGCAGATATGTAAATCGTAGGTTTGAAAAGCCTTAGAAACATAATTTAACCAATAATGAACCTGTTTTCTTGGACATTTTTCGGAAAAAATGGGTAAAATTGTCACACCGTAACATTCTATAGTTTTGAAATATGCCCTTTAACTAACTTTGTCAAGTCATTTCTGGACGAGCCTCCAGCTCCAGGATACAGCCGTCGGAATGGAAACTCCTTGCTGGATTGGAGTAGTGATAAAACAATATCTATACTGTCCAGGGTGTCGACTTTTTCGATGGCCCGATAGAGGATTCTATGAAGCCCAACAAAGTAACAAAGTAAGTAAGCTCTTAGTAAAATTGGGACTTCTGAAAAAGATCTTAAGAGTTCTTGATCCTTTAGCATTCAATGAAATTGGTTGTCAAGAAGATCCAGATGAAATAAAGTGTTTCAAACTTGACAAATTCTCCACCAAACATTCCTATCAGCTTGCAAGGATGAACTTGATAGGATGAAGTCCTAAGATGTTATTCAACCCATAATGGAACCAATTGACTGGCCAAAAAGGGACATTAACAAGATAGGCTGCACCTATAGTTCTCAAATGAAGACTTATCACCTTTTTTGTGCACTGATGCCACAAGCGCCAGTTCCCACAAGTGCAAGCGCCAGAGAATAGTTTAATGTGCACATAAAATTTTGTGCAGCTAGGATTAAAGTCTCATATATCAGGAAAATATTCAATTGTTAGACTTTCCTTTTCCGAATCTTCCAGAGCACCATTATTTCTATTTCCCTATTCCTCCATTATGTTGATTGTATTTATGATTGATTTCTTATCATGATTGATTTAAAATTATGATTAATTTTATATCACTGACCAACTATCTCTCAGAGATTGGTGGGGCTGTATTTACTCCCATTTAGTGTCTTATTAGTAAGATATTCGAGAAAATTATTTACATCAGACTGTATAGCTTCTTTCAGTCCCAGAAAATTATTTACAAGAACCAGTATGGATTTAGCAAAAAATTAATACATAATACAATACTATTTGTATTCCGATTTACAGAATGCTTGCTAGGGAATAAAACAAATTAGTATTATCAGACTATACATGCAGCATGAGTAACTGGTAAATGAGCCTTTGGTAAAAACTGATTCGGGAAAGTCAATGCAGCACTCGGGTCTCGGGTCCTTGGTATTGTTGTTGGTATAAGTAAAATACAATCTTTATTTTCAACAGAAGAATCAATACATATTGAATTATAAATATCCGATAATTCCATTAATAATCATTAAAAGTTGCTTTGTCATTTGTAAGATCAAAAACGAAAAGCCGTCGCGTACGCTGAACACGCGCGGCATTTTTCTGCAGCTGCCTAGCTTGTAGCCGCTAACATCAAAGCCGCGGCGCGCGCCTAGTGCTGGGGTGCATTCTCATTGACAATTAAACTTGGTCAAAGATATTTATATACAATTCCTAAATTAAATCAATAATCATGTTAATATGAGTATTCAACACTACTCGACAACAAATATTTGCCGGCCCATCGACGATTCAGTCGCCGAAACAAAAATCAAATGTTTGCTTTTTCGTTTCGGGAACTGTTTGAACTCAGTACTATATCCGACTAATCATACTTTATAATGGTTAAAAAACAAAGTAAAAAGATTTTCCTCGATGGGCCGGCATTCGCAACCGCGAAACGTTTTGAGTACGACAAACGATGACACCACCACCAGCCCTTAATATATTCTCCATTACCTTCTGCGCAGAAAGTTGCCTATGTCTACTAAATTATTAGTCTTTTTAAATTCCTATAGATTAATTTTAAAATCAATAACGATTCCGTGCAATCTCTTATGATCAGTTCCCTTGACTACTGTAATGCACTTTACTTTGGACTAATCATTCTGTTTTGAAACAGCTACAATCTCTGCAAAACAGAGCATGCCGCTTAGTCAAAGGCTTAAAGAAGAGAGAAGAAGTTGATCCCTACATAAAATAACTTCATTGGCTCAAGGTACAAGAACGTATTGAATTTAAAATACTCCTGTTAACTTTCAAACTGCTCCATGGGCTAGCACCTTCATACCTGTCAAACCCTGTTAAGTACAATTCCAGTGGTGGAAGAGATGTGTCTCTTCATTGCCCCATAAACAGTCCACCCAGAGCCTTCTCTTCATCTGCTCCAAGATTATGGAACAATCTTCCTCAAGAAATCACGAAATGTGTAAACATCAAGGACTTTAAGGGAAAACTTAAAGCTCACCTGTTTAGAAAGTTCTTTGATTTGTACTGAGTAACTAATCCTTTATTGAAGGTTAAAATTTAATTAAAATGTTTAT